GTCAAATTTTTACTACAATATCTATCAATATTTTAATAGAATTTCGACTGAATAAATGGATAGTTGCATATTCTTTAATGATTGTTATTCCATATGTTTGAAATGTATATTCTTCTAAGCTATATCTTACTACCCGTATAAGGCCGCTAAAGATAATGTGCGTGAATCGCACATGAAGAAACAATGTGTAAATTGGCCCATGAGAAAAGTTAAGTATTCCTACAGTCAGATAATGAATCGTATATATCTTTGAAAGGCAACATAATGGAATTTTCAACAATTTTGACTTAGGATAAGAATTAAAGCTCCTCTTTTTCTTCAGAAAAAACCACAGTTATACTTTTCCAAATATTGTTGATTGCCTCGCTGATGGAAAATTGGATGAGAGATGATGGAAAGTCAGAAGATAAGAAAGCCATTAGTAATGCTATCAACAGGATTTTGTTGTGTTCATTTGTATCTTATGAGTAATATTTTTGAAGAGCATACTGTAGAAGGAGAAAGAATTTAACGCAAGGGAGAAATCGGTCTTATAGAGGGAAGCATGCGGCCTTATACGAAGGTGGTTGCCCGGGTAAACAGGGTGATAGAGTCTTCCTTAGAGATGACCCAGAACCACTATGTAAGATGTAGTGAGACAGATTTTAAGGCTGTACTTAAGATTCCTAGTACATAGGAACAGTGTCCTATCAGAATTTTTTCAATATGCATTTGTCTAAATCAAATATTATATATTTTTTCCATTACAATGGCATTGCTGACAAATTCCGCACATATTTGGAACATTTAGCGGAATTTGCTTACAGATATCTAAAGTAGCCTTATCAACTGCTTAAGCTATATTCTAAGTTTCTCCTCTAGGAAGCACAAGACAGGCTCTAACATAAAGGATCACATAGATATTGATTCATTTTTCGCTTGATTACTAATAGCACTGAAAATCCACCAGTATTTGAAAGAACGATTTTTTTCCGGGCAAGTACTTACTAAGCTCATTGTTCCTACAATTATTTTCTTACCATAACTATAGGAGATCATATTCAGATAAATGAGTTAAAAGAAATTATAGCAGACTTTGGACAACCTTATCTCTTCAAGTACGCAAATGGTTAAAGTCAGGTCCCCTCCATTCACCCTAACACGATT